TTTTACTACTCTCTCATATATATATATATATATATATATATATATATATATATATATATATATATATATATATATATATATATATATATAAGCCACGGATTTATCTTTAATGCACATGCGTTTATCTTTGAAAGACGTACAGTATGAAAGGGCGTTATCTGCTATATAAAGAGTTACCTGCTATCCTCTATACTGAACAAATTAAATATATATTTATGACGTGTTTTTATGAGATCATTTAAATTGATGATAGTTTTTATACGTTTTCGGTAATTTTGTTTAGAACTTAAATAAATGTACAGCAGATTGATACTTTAACAGAAATAATCTTAAATATACTTATATAAAACAAATACTAAAGAACTAGAATTATCTTCAGAATTTTCGGTTTTCTTTTGCGAGGACAGTGCCTGTATTTACATTATTACGTTATCTGACTGCTAGACATCTATTAGTGCCTTTGAAAATCATTAATCTTCATTTACTATATAGGTACATTTATAGCTAACAGACACATACAAGATAGCAAAACACGACCTCTGTGATTCGGTGTAAAAAGTAGACATAATGAATAAATACGCAAAATAGATTACAAACACTCTTAACTCGTTTTCAACAATCCATTTTATTTTAAGATATGTTAAGAACAATCGGAATCCCAGCAATTCTCTAATTTAGTGATGTAAGTCGAAAAAAAAAGTCCACCGATACAAAAACTAATGGCTCTGTGAGCTGATAAATAAGTCGTAATAAAATTCTTGTCTTTGACATGTAAACAAAAATAAAGATGTTGTCACTACAGTAGGACAATTTCTGAACCAATATATCTAATTTTTACACCACGTAACATCTTAACATTTAAGCATTATTTAGGATAATGTCAAAATACTTGAACCATATAAAATCGTTTGCATCAACAATGATCACCTTTATGTATCCATCTCATGAATATTTTTTGGTTGGCCACACTATAAAGTCACTAAAAAACTAATGATCACACATAGTATGGTTCATTTAAAGATATATTGAAAATTGTTTTGGGCGTTTAAAAATCCTCTAATTATCGTAGCACAAACAGCTAATAGAAACTCGGCAGTGAATTCCTAAAATAAAAAAAAATATGTTTGAAACATGTATCCATATATTAATAAAAATTTATAAATATGTTAAATGTGGTACTGAGAGTTCTTCTCACTGCTTTTTTGTATAATAGTGAATCATTATATAAAGAAAGCTGAGCAACTCTTTAGAATAGCTCGAGACAGAGACAGTTTCGCCATGTTAATCGCCAACGTCAAGGGGACTTGATAGGGCACGTTAAGAAGAAGAAGTGAATCATTTTTTTCTAATAAGTTAAATAATGACAAAAAATTGTATGTTCGTATATGTCCAAATATTTTATTGGTTGTCATTTAACTACACTTAAGAATCCTAACAAATCTAATCTTGCGGATATTCAAATAAGAAACTGTCATTTGAGCGGACGATATCTTAGTGTTATCTAATTGTGGCCGCACACAGAAAGAGCAAAACTGTTTTAGTCAAAAACGTTTTTGACTAAAAAACGTTTTTGACTAAACGAGTCTGATGCTGATGTTTCCATATAAATGAAATGAGCTGACGCACACTGATTAGTCGTGTGTCTAAATCATGTTTAGGCTCATTTAGTTTTAGTCAGTCTGTTTGATGTTGATTACGGGTGGCCGCACACAGAAAGAGCAAAACTGTTTTAGTCAAAAACGTTTTTGACTAAACAAGTTTGATGCTGATATTTCCATATAAATTAAATGAGCGGACGCACACTGATTAGTCGTGTGTCTAAGGGTGGCCGCACACAGAAAGAGTAAAACTGTTTTAGTCAAAAACGTTTTTGACTAAACGAGTTTGATGCTAATATTTCCATATAAATGAAATGAGCTGATGCACACTGATTAGTCGTGTGTCTAAAGCATGTTTAGGCTCATTTAATTTCAGTCAGTCTGTTTGATGTTGATTACCTGATCGTCGTTTTGTCTCGAAACATTTCAATGTACGCAGGCGCAACGTGTTTTTGGAATTCCCTTCTTGAAACCGCTCGAATAGTCAACAAGGAGCACATGTGGAAACAGCGATATTTTGTTTTTTCGTCTTATAGGTGGAACCACTACCAGAAAACTAGTGCAATTTTGTCGTTATCTATCGACATCTTTAATAAAACTGATTGCAGTATGGTTTGTGCAAACATTTTGTTTCTCTTGAAAACAAAATGTTTCTTGTGGAAACAAAAACGTTTTCGTTTCAAACAAAAACGTATTTGACTAAAACAGTTTTGCTCTTTCTGTGTGCGGCCACCCTGAAGCATGTTTAGGCTCATTTAGTTTCAGTCAGTATGTTTGATGTTGATTACCTGATCGTCTCTTTTGTTTCGAAATATTTCAATGTACGCAGGCGCAACGTGTTTTTGGAATTCCCTTCTTGAAACCGCTCGAATAGTCAACAAGGAGCACATGTGGAAATAGCGATATTTTGTTTTTTCGTCTTGTAGGAGGAACCACTGCCTGAAAACTAGTGCAATTTCGTCGTTATCTGTCGACATCTTTACTAAAACTGATTGCAGTATGGTTTGTGCAAACATTTTGTTTCTCTTGAAAACAAAATGTTTCTTGTGGAAACAAAAACGTTTTCGTTTCAAACAAAAGCGTTTTTGACTAAAACAGTTTTGCTCTTTCTGTGTGCGGCCACCCTACCGGATCGTCGTTTTGTGTCAAAACATTTCAATGTACGCAGACACAACATGTTTTTGGAATCCCCTTCTTGAAACCGCTCGCGTAGTCAACAAGAAGCACATGTGGAAACAACGATATTTTGCTTGTTTATATTGTGTGTATCATGGAAGTGGACGCAGAAAAATTAATTGTACAGATTGAGGCCAGACCCCTTATATAACTATCAATTAAAAGATCATCACAATCAAAATTTGAATCACAAAGACTGGAGAGTTTTTTCAGCAGTTCTTTTCTTATTTATAGGATTCACCCAAAATTGTCTTTTATTTTGCGTTTTTTCGTCCTGTACGAGGAACCACTGCCAGAAAACTAGTGCAATTTCGTCGTTATCTGTCGACATCTTTAATAAAACTGATTTCAGTATGGTTTGTGAAAACATTTTGTTTCTCTTGAAAACAAAATGTTTCTTTTGGAAACAAAAACGTTTTCGTTTCAAACAAAAACGCTTTTGACTAAAACAGTTTTGCTTTTTCTGTGTGCGGCCACCCTAACTGCTAATGTCATAAGGTATATTTCCTTTTTAAACGGTTAAAATATTTCTTATTTAAATATGGTAATTATATTTTAGAAAAATTTATTTATATAACTATTTTTTAAAACAATTAAAATATGCCAAAATATTTTGAAAAGGGATAAGAATTATTGATGTTAAGGATGCTGAAGTATTTTGAGACCTGAAGTATTGGGAAGTTAGTTATTTGAGGGAAGATATTCGTTTTAAACTAAATATTTTACAAAATATAAGTATATGGATATTTCGAGGTTTTTTGGGTCACATTAAAAAGTTTGCTGTGTAAAAATTTCTGTCAATATTGTTTCACATTTACATTTTTAATATACAAAAGTCTCAATTGGAATTGATTCGAGCCCTACACCAATTACCATTACCACAATTGAATGTAATGAAAATTATATTTTTAACTAAATAATGCTTGACGTTTCCATTTCCACTCCGGAAATAGTTTTCAAAAAAGATTCTTTTAAAAATTCTGAGAAAATGTATATCCAACAGGTTGTTGTTTGTAGGTTAAATTTTTCAAAATTGATGGTTGACTTACTTGGCCTCGATCTTGTAGACAACAGCATGCTTGTGGTTTAAAAAAAAGTGAGGGTGGCGTTTTTACCCTCAGAGCATAAAATTCTGAGTGTTCTGTGTGTTTTTTGTATTATATGTTTGTGTAAAGTGTGTTAACGTAGATTATATGTTTGTGTATTGTGTGTTGCATACGGATTATGTTTAGATTGTAGATGGCATGTTTCCCACTTCCTATTGATCCGCTATTGTGGGAATGTTCCTGTTATTGACTTCTTTTTTTAGTATTGGCAACCAAAACCTGCTACATTCTGCTGATGAGTTTACTACACATATTTTGAAAACGATTTCCGGACCGGAAATCGAAACTTCAAACATTGGTTAGTTAAAAAAGTAATTGTCATTACAATCATTTGTGGCCTAATGCCATATAAACATAATATTTAAGTTCTTAAAGTTGGTCACACACGACGAAAACTCTTAGGCGCTCAGGTTCGTGAATAACGTGCCCGTGAAAGGGTTAACAACACTGTAGATTTGGTTTAATTCTTTACTTCTTTTTTGAATATTGGTACTATTATAACCCTTTTCCATTCTTTCCTACATCTTCTCCTGCCATGTGTAAAGAACGAAATTACAGAAGTGATCGAAAAGCACGGGACTAAGTCCTTTGCACGATTTGCAATGGTTATAAGCACGTCGCACGTCATTAAAAAATAAAATGATCCGTATATGGATCGAAATACCAACTAGGAAGTATTCAGATGAATAACTAGTAAACGCGAACTACTGTTTACAAGAAAAAGTCGAAAGTTCGAATACCTTTGGCGTATTATAAGGAACAAAGAAAGCTTGGTAACTTGCGCAAGTAGTTTGGAACAACCTTAACCGAATTATTTGTCAGTGAAACGAAAAGTTAGTCTTGCATTATTGAAACGAATAGGATACTCCAAGAATTATTTCCTTAAATCTCACATATTTTATAATCTATGGTGAAATGATTTTAGATGAGCACATAATGTAGCATACAGCGACGATCAAGAAAATAAAAAACTCTAATGCCCTATATAATGGTCGTGCTCACAACTTTTTTGAAAATAATTACCACATTATTTGTAAAAAGTAAAAGTTATCATTCCAATCTGATACGCCACAGATCTATAGCTTCTGCGAATCTATTTTTTATATTTACCGTTTTCACATTATGAGCGATGGTCTAACCTAAAATTATCTTCGACAATTTCAGATATGCCTATTGATGGGTTTGTTAGTATCTGGAATTCATCAAAATCCAACGTTCCTAAACCTTCTTTTAACGATTCGTCCGAGAAAAAGTCTGTCGGCAACTGCCTAGATCCATCGTCACCTGAAAAATCTAAAAACAAAGATAATATGTAATATTTATAGCAAACATTTAAAATTAATGGTCTAATTCATAGTATAAATATAAATATTTCATATATAACGAATTCAGAGAATAGACAATCATCGTCTAGGTTATTGCAATGTAAATTTATTGTTTATACAGAGTTGCCTCTAAAAACAGTTCACCCTGTTAATTGGCTATAATCATTAGATTTCTAAAAATGCTGAAGAACGTCGATTTTTATTATTTTATATTATTTATTTTATTCTAACATGATCATCAGCTCCACTTTTTTCCCACACCACGACATACACAAAGTAACATGGATTATGCCTGCGGAACAACCGCAAACCAAATTGATCATGTCTTGATAGACAAAAGGGCCGCAACAAGCATACAATATATAAAGAGCCGAAGAGGAGCATGCTGCAGATCTGACCGTCTTCTAGTACAGATAAGATAAAGATGCAGAATTCAAAGAAACAGGAGGGACAGACAGGAACAAACAACAGAATAATTAGATATACAAAAATTGGGACAACAAGATATCAAACAGAACTATGAGACACAAATAACACAAACATTGAAAAATACAGGCAGTCTAGGCACCGAAGAATATTGGGAAGAAATTAAAACAAAGGTAATTGACACAGCAAGAAAGATCATAAGAAAAAAAGAAACAAACAAAAAGAGAATGGTTCAATGTCGAGTGTAAAAAGGCCATACAGAAAATAAATGAAGAACACAAGAAATATGTGGAAGAAGAACCAAAGAAAGAAGAGCAAGCTACGAAGATGCAAGACGGAGGGCAGATAAAATATGCCGAACAGAGAAAAGAAAATACTAGAACAGACAGAAAATGGAAGAAAATCTCCAAAGCAACGATATAAGGGAAGCGTATAGATATATAAGCAATTTAAGGGAAAGGTAGAAACCCCAAACAAATTTATACAGAAATCAAGAAGGGCAAATAAACAGTGATCCAAAAGAAACAAAACCAGCCCGGAAAAAATATTTCCAAACTCTGCTAGGGACGCAAGAACATGAAGAGCATATTGACATGCATCATATTGAGGGAGACATAGAAAATGAAGAACCCCCGATGATGGAAGAGGTAAAACATAAAAAATAACAAGGATCAGGTATTGACAACGTCCTCTCTGAGCTATATAAATTAGGTGGCGAATACCTAGTAAGACGAATGCATATGCTTATGAACAAGATTTGGAATGAGGAAAAGATCCCTAGCGACTGGAAAAGCCGGATTACATATTTTTATTATCTATAAAAAAGGGGTTATTCAACAACTAACTGAAAATATTGTCAGGAATATCAAACCGGTTTCCGAAAGGAAGAACTACAAGATCTACAACTGACCAGCTATTCACAGTGAAATAAATTCTAAACAAATCATGCGAATACGACATTAACGTCCACAACATATTCATAGATTTCAAACAGGCCTACGACTCAATTCATAGACAAAAATTATATCAAATATTGCATAGCTTTAACATCTTCCAGAAATATATCCGACTAGTAAAAGCAACAATGAACTCGTCAACAGCAACTGTCAGAGTACAAAATGAGTTCACTGAGAACTTTTCATAGTCAAAGGATTAAAAAAAGAGACGGGTTGTAACCAACACTACTCAACCTGACTCTTAAATATGTGATAAGACAGCTGGATATAGTTTCCTAACAAATAAATCAATGTAGATTGCCGCCTATGCCGATGACATTAGGATCATATCTCGTAGAAAAGAAGATGCGGCAGAAATATATTCACGATTAAAAACAGGGACAGACGAGACCGGACTAGAAATAAATATTCAAAAGACAGAAAAACTAACACAAGCAAGAGCTAGGGGAAACAGACGCACAGTTGAATTAGAGGACGATACTGAGTTACATTAAATAAGGATGGAACAGAAGAACCACAAATTCAAAGAAGAATAGTACTTACTTTTCACTCGCCCATGTGTTCCGCTCCAAAAACACACACTGGAGATCGAAAATCAGGTTCTACAAAACTATTATCAGACCAATAGTATGTTATGGGCGCGAGACATGGGTGATGACAGAAGACATAAAACGAAAGCTGGAAGCCTTTGAAAGAAAAGTCCTAAGAAAGATATATAAAGGCCTTTCTTTAGTAGTGTCCCTCACAAGAGAACTTGTGTGGACGAAGTAGAAAGAACCTATAATTGATTTTAAAGTTAGCTATACTCTATTTCTTAATGGTTGACAGCACGCTAAAAGGACAGAGGTTGCACAATTTGAATGTAAAAGTCACAAAAGAAATTTATTTACCATAATATAAATACCTACTTGACCTGAAATATAAGTAAAAAAAATTTAACATATACATCGATGAGTTTAAAAATTTAATTTTTAAAAAATTTATAAAAAAAAATTATACCCATTGTCGTGCAGTGATAGAGTTTTAATGGGGTACATTCCGTAAATTATATATTTTTTTGATCATTGTTTTATTTTTTATACAATACTACATTTCTGTATGAAGATTAAGAACTAAAAACTACATATATCATGATATAATAAGGTCTCTGGTAAATTTTAAACTTTAACCTTTTTAATATAATATTAAATTTTGACACCATATGTTTAACAGGTCGTTGAGAGGAATTTTTATTAAACTTTATATAACGATGTACAAAGATTTAATTTGTTGATAACATTGATGTTTGTAAGATCTAAATTATTATGCTCAATTTCTTTTATGTTTTTGGTTAATAATAAATATACGTTACAATTTTATATTGTTTTTCATTTCTCTAAGAATTTTCTTTTCTCTCGGACCACGAATAAATATTGGATAACATGTTTGCTAAGCTAACATACGAGGTAAGTGTGATAAATTTTTTATTTGTCTATATTGTATTTTGATTATTATTTCTTGTATTTGTTTATATAGGTATTTGGTTCTGGAGATTTCTTTGATACTCACAAAAAAAGGCAGAGTGGCGCCCTCCTTTTTGGCAATTCTTCCATAACTTATTTTCTGTCCTTTTTGCCAAATTTTTGATAACCTGTTTTCTTTGTTTTCTTTATGTTGTTTGCCCATGTGTCTGTCTTCTCCGTAATTCTTTTGTTTCTGAGAAAGTAAGAATGATCCAAAGAACAACACCCACTTCTCTTCCGATTCTGAGCAATGCTCCCTCATTCATTTTGTGTGCCTCAAACATATCCAGCGTTTGTGTTCCCACACGGTACGAAGAGACCGATCTGCTTACGCGAAGACCTGGTTCAGGTCGAGGCAGAATTACAGCAGCTAGAGATAACCGCTTTGTCGTTTCTAGTGCTTTGAGAAACCGAACGGTCACGCAGTTTCCCTTCAAAACCATTTGCAAGAAGTGAGAAATGTAAATGTAACCGAATTGCCAGATTAAATTTTGCACGAGAACACTTGGCTTGGAGAATACAGGATTGGACTCGTGTATTGTTTTACGGGCTCAGAAATAAGTGTAAGAGTGTGGAGACGTCCAGGCGAGGGATATATTCATGCATATGCTGCCGAGCCACACATAGGTATTCTGACACAGGTTCTAGAACACCATTAGGTCTTTACGATATCGGTTCAAAAAGAAAGAAGTATATGGTTATTCTTGGAGAGGACGCAATATTTATCCATGATAAGGTACGGCGCACACTGCTTGGACACACGATTTCTTTGTCCTGCTCGTAGTCCAGATATGAATCCATAGAACACGTTTGGGATGAGATGAAGAGCCGTTTAAGGAGTCATGTGCCGGCCCTTAGAAATCTAAGAGAGCTTCGCGACATATTGCTGCAGGAATGCAGTACTCAGAAACGTCTAATCGTTTGCAAGCTGTTATCACTGCCAAAAGGGAAATTTCTTTTGTTTCAACAAAAAGCAAATCAAATTAAACTTGTCCCTTTTCAATATCAGTTCTACATCAAAATAATATTTTTTATTTTTATTACTTTCAATAAACTTTGAAGGACAAAAACGTAAATTTTGCTACAACCGAAAAACGTTAAAAGGATAATTTCTAAAATAAAATCAAATTACGGGATGATCCTAATTTTGTGCTCGGCAGTGTATATAATGAGGGTAAAGTGGTGTCAACCATTAAGAACTACATTATAGGTTAACATCTTGCTGAAAGCGATGTCGTGAGTCGAGTTATCTCCGATGTATCTATAGGTATGCTGTCTGGTCTGGTATATTTTAAATCAAGTAATTTTTCGTGCATTGCTATTGAATGATTATTATAAACAGTACAATTAATTAATCAATATATTAAACAATAAAAATACATTAACTCTGAAACGTAATTATATTTAGGCCCAGTTGTTGAATCAATAGTTAACTCATGGATTAAGTAAACAATGATTAAAGTTAATTGAAAGATTATTTCTTAAAAAGTTGTTCAATGCATGTTAACTTTCGAATTTATTAAACTCAAGTACTGTAGCGGTGACAATGTTGCCAGTTATTAATTAACGGCTTGGAACAAATTTTATCATAAAAATTATAAAGATAAAATGTGTTCTGTGGTATAAACATTGGTGTTCATATTATGTACGTATATAAAAGTTAATGACTTTGACGTTGTGTTTACATTACATTTCATTTTGCACTTTGAATTTGTTGTGTTTATTTGAGATTTGTATAAGTGATTATTTTTGTATTTTAAATTGCAAAAAATGCAATAGCAAAAAATTTTTAAATTGCAATAGCCATAATTATTATTATCGACACGAAATTATAATAGCTTATAATCTATAATTTTGTAATATTTTATAATCTAGAACTGTCAAGAGACAATATTTAATTTAAAACTAGAAAGTAAGGTTACAAATCTCTAGTTAACACCGTTAATCCTTCGTTTTTGGGCGATTAAGGTAATCTCTGGTTAACAGATGGTTAAGTGCTAAACTTGCATTGAACAACGCTATATTAAGTTTAATTGAAGATTATTTTTAATCTGAAGATAATCTCCAATTGAACAATCGGCCCTTAATTAATAAATAAATTACCTGTGAGTATGATTTCAGGCAGACTTGTAGGAGTATTTGGCGTTGTTCGTAATCCAGGCGAGGGCGACGGATACACTAATTGTTGCGGTGATGTACTATAATAACCCGCGTCCGTACTCACTTCTATGTTATTATTTGGGCTGGCATTTGGTATGTTCGAAGGTGAGTGTGGCTGCGTCGTTTGTTGAGCACCCGTTGACTGGTCAACGTAAGAAATATTGTTTGGTTGATCCAACTGAAGTTAATAAAGAACTGATTAATGTATAGAAATTATTGTATTTAAGAATATTAAGCATGGATTTGGGAGGTAGTGCGCATGTAACAGCATCTCAGTACGACACCATGTGTTTAAATAGCTGTTTTGATGCGAAGGTAGAAGAAAATATGTACAAGTGGAAAAACAGTGATATAGAAAAAAAAACATACTGGCGACTCAACAACATTTCACAATATAAAATAATTACAGAGACATAAGCTTATGCTTGTTTCACAAAATCTTTTTCATCACACCTATACCTGGTGGTATGCTGATATATTTTGAAATTATAATTATTAAATAATTTTACAAAAATACAAATTTTTTACTAAAAATTTACGATGACATTCCAAGATTATGCCATCGTGTAAACATTTCCACATTACTTTATAACACAGAAAATTGGATATTAAAACTACGTTCTATGGGATGTGGTGTAGAATGCAGATAATATTGTGTATTAATGGAATTACAAAGGTTAAGGCACAAGTTTAAGTTTCACACAAAACGAATATCAAACCACAAAGGTAATCAAAATTATATGGTGCAGTAATGATGTATAATGAGATGATAGAAATATGTATAAAAAAATATTAACAATGAAAACTTTTGTTTCTTCACAAGTCAAATAGTTCACACACAACACCCTTTTCCTGTTAAACGACATCTAGACTGATCTTCTACACTTCTACTGATGTGTAGAAGATCAGTCCTTCCGAAAGTTTCGTATTCGGTGTCGAAACATGATATGATGTTGAGGATGTATTGTGTATAAAGAAAAGAAAAAATAATTGTACCTTAAGTCTGGCATTGTTTGAGATACTGTAAGACATACAAAGAAAATGTCAAAATAGAAAAGTAGATAATAAGCCACTTGAGCGTACTTTGACCTCCGCGGTTTGAACCTTACGCGCATCCGCTTCGCACATTGGCCACTGATGTCACGTATTATGTCACTTTTTGTGTTAAATGTCACGTATTATCAGCGCTCTGATGGTGTTCAGATCGTCTCTAATGGTGCTTAGCTCAGCTAAAAATGTCGCTTAAAAACGTAACGTGACGTAAAAACGTGACTGACATATGACATAATACCTGACATCGGTCGCCAATGTGCGTAAGGTTCAAGCCGGGGAAGGTCAAGGTGCGCTGAAGTGGCTTATTATCTACTTAGAAATCGACAGAAAACTAAAGAGAGGATTGCGTTCTTAGATAACATAGAGGACGATATGATATGTCGGAATGGAAAAGAACACAGAGAAGGTCTGAATAGAGGTAAATAACAAAACTGGTAGAGAGGCAAGAAAAGAAGAATGTCCCACTTAAGTGCGAATCAATAAATTTTTTACCGATTCTAAACGAATTTAAGGCTCTAATGAAAATATTCTATGCCAACTAAACTTAAATATAGGTTGTTTATAAACTCCCCAGTAACATGAAACCTCAAAATTCAGGGGATTATTTCATGTAGGTTTGTCCTAATACTTTAACAAATTATTTTCTTCCTCAGGGGGATAGTTTTATTGGAAGGCAAGCATTACATTTGATAAGTTCATAACGATTTTCTTTTCTTCGCACATAACTTTCTATTTTTTTTTTCAAATTGACACTTGATAGTTGTTCCGATTTTTTTGGAAAAAGTAAATGTTCATCTTTCCTAATCTTCTACTTCGAGAAAATATAAGCTTACATGCTTGAAAAATTAGTATTCAACAAGGCAGATGCGAATAAAATATCACTAAAAACTAGACCTATTCACAAGTTCTACTAGGATTGTTCAATGGAAACATGTGTAATCAGGGTATCAGAGCTATATAGTCAAAACAACCTAATTTATTCAAACCTTTTGTTTAAGTAATAGTGAACAATAATAGCATTTGGTTCTCTTTAAGTATTTTTAACAGACATACTGGTTTTCAGTTACGTTTTAACATGAGTGGGGAGTGGAGGTTACGTTTAATATGAGTGGAAGCTTAATAACCCCTCCACTCGACCTAAGAGGTCTATTGTGGCTTATCTCCAGATTAAAGTAGTTTTTTCAGCCAGTCTTTTAACAAAGTCGATTATGGCCCTTTATAACACTTCTAGGTTATAAGCTATAGTGAGTGATAGAGCTCGAGTTAATCATGCTCAAATGTATTGAGCCTTATCCTAGCCAACCCTGGGCAATTACACTTTTTTGGTTTTCAGTTTTTCTCATCTGATAGTAGAGTCAGTCACCGTACATATTCTAGACATATATAGAGAATTATTAACCGAAATCTGCCTACGGAAGGAAACGCCCGCAGACTGGAAATTAGGTGTAATGCATCCTCTTCACAAAAAAGGAGATATGATGGTGTGTGATAATTATAGAGGCATCACCCTACTTAACGTGGCATATAAAGTATTGTCCAACGTATTGTACAGAAGATTGATCCCTATGCTGAACAAATAGTTGGGAACTACCAGTGCGGTTTCCGACCCAATAAATCAACAACGGATCAAATCTTCACAGTCAGGCAGATTCTTGAGAAAACGCTTGAGTTCGGAGTCGACACCCACCACATATTCGTGGATTTCAAAGCCGCATACGACTCAGTCAACAGACAAAAACTTCTACAGGCTATGGTGGAATTTCAAATGCCGCTTCATCTTGTTCAACTAACGGAACTTACACTCACAGGCGTAGAGAGTGTAGTCAGAATCCAAAACGACTTTTCAAGACCCTTCCATTGTAAAAATGGACTGAGACAGGGAGATGGACTGTCGTGTCTCTTATTTAACCTTGCACTAGAAAAAGTAATTCGAGAGTGCCATATTAATACGAATGGCACCATCTTTAATAAATCTGTACAAGTGGTCGGATATGCAGATGACATAGACATTATTGCTAGGTCCACAGAATCTCTGATCGAAGCATTTCGATCATTAAGGCGTCTGCACTGAGAATGGGATTAAAAATAAACGCACAGAAAACCAAGTATATGTATTGTACTAGATCAGGCAACCAGATACCTAGACTATTAATTGATGATCTGGAACTGGAAGGTGTGGACACCTTCGTCTACCTGGGCTCGCTGCTGACCAAAGACAACAATGTCAGCGAAGAAATTAAAAGAAGAATAGTGCTTGCCAATAAGTGCTATTATGGCTTGAGGAAACAGATGACCCCAAAACTACCCAGAAAATTAAAATTACCATATGTAAAACACTAATAAGGCCAGTGTAATATACGGGTCAGAAACGTGGTCACTTACACAGAACGACCAAGAACTGCTTAAACGTTTCGAGAGAAAAATTCTAAGGAAAATATATGGAGGAGTCCAAGAACAGGGTTTGTGGCGTAGGCACTATAACTTTGAGTTATACAGAAGTTTTAGGGAACCTGACGTTGTAAAATGTATTAAATTAGCAGACATAGATATCAAGATACCATAGAGGATGATCTAAAATCCATCGGAGTTAAAGCATGGAGAAGAATTGCCAGAGACAGGGGCGAATGGAAGATTGTTTTGAAGAAGGCTTTGGTCATGACGAGCTGTAATGCCACTGCTGATGATATAGAAGAATGAAAGATGAATATGTTAACTGCAGTTATTTCATTTTTAATTTAATGATACAATCGCGCAGACCATTTTTGATAAGGAAAATAATGATGTGGCCCAGGCAAACAGTGAATCTGTTCTCTTCATGCGCGGTCATGGTCGTTAATTATTTACGGTGGGCATGACCCAGTGGAGTCTAAGAACAGCTAACACCGGCTATCAGAGCCAGGATTTATTAGCCAACTTTCGGCAATCGAAGCTATGCCAGGAGGACTCATTCATATTAGAAAAACCTCGATAAAGCTCTGCACATCATATTCATAAGAAATGAAAAACTTTCTGAGATGTTGAATGTTAGGGTAGTCACTGTCTATTCTATAACACATAGTTTTGGTTACCAAAAAGTTGCTACTCATATGATGTCCGACTGCTTACTGACAAACACAATTTGCGTTTATCATTCTCATTACTGCATTTAATGCAGTATGAGTAGATGGATAGGACCGGTTCTCAACCGTCTTATTGGATTTACTGATGTAGCACCTCTTTCGCTTCAGAACCAGATCTATCCGTCTACTTATTTCAACACCGTGCCGGTCTGAGACTGTGAGACTAATGCATTTCCACTCAACACAAAACAGACAGTGTGGGGAAGTTCTCATCTTCGACACGGCACGTTCCAATGGATAATGGAGAACGTCGTATACGTATTAGACATTAGCCCGTGGAAGATTTTTAATGGGTCACCCAGCATGAATCACATATAAAATAATGATACAATATGTAATAACAACTCTAGAAACTATGCCGTTAATTCTTATCGGTACATGTGAGGCACTGATAAGATAAACTTAACACTAAACGGGGGGGGACTTTGGCCATGCATATTTGTACGGCTAATACATTTAATTAGGTATGATGGATAGTTTTTAACTTTCTTTTTGTATAGAATATACCTTAAAACTACTATATGTGTTTCCATTGAACACCCGTTGTAAATTTCTAATAATTTAAAGTAGATTACCTAACATTACAGCTCAAATAAATTTATTATAAAACAGCTAGATAATGTTCAATATAAAAATTTAGTATGATATATGTAAAAATATAAATTAACTCTACCCTCTACCATTTAATCATGCACATTTTACTTATACATAAAAAACATTCGAAAATTTGAATTATTAGAATCCAAAAATGTTGTTCATAAATTTATTTTTTACATTTATATCTTACATATATCGTTATACCATTTTTCACTATGGAACTAAATGTAATAAAACATGCAAGATATATAAGATGTAAAATAACAATTTACAATTAATAAATACGGTATAAATATGTGATATTGTGTTAATAAACAAGAATTTTAATTAAGAGGGTATATACAAGGCGCATTATTTTTATATTATTCAAGGTTTATTGAAACTCTGAAATATCACGGCGCAATCCTTG